CCTCTGCTCCCTGCCAGGCCCAGCTCTGAGCAGGTGCACACCTACCGCAGCTTGGCCTGTTGCAAGTGAAAGTTGTCCTCCTGCTCCTCCCAGGTTTTGAAGTGCTCTGCCTCTTTCTCCCGCTGCAGCATCTCCAGCTCCTGCTCCCGCATGGCTTTTTCCCGTTCCCGCTCCAGACGCAGCTGCTTCACCTGCCCGGAGTGAAAGAGCTGTGAGGCCAATGTGCGGACACCAGACACCTGCTTGAGGACACAACCATAACATGACCTGTTCCTGAGTTGTCTTGGCTCCTGCCATCAGCCCAAGCTCCCGGAGAGTGGGGAGACAGCAGGGCCAGGTTGCTTGGGCTCACTGCCAGCCCTATGGGAGACAAGGGACACAGGCACAACCGAGTGCCTCAGTGTAGTGACCTGGCATTGTCCTCCTCAGCACCTACTGAGCTCCTTGGGCTCAACCCCAAGGGAAGAGGTTTCTCATCCTGGAATAGCAGAAACAAGGGTTCTATAACCCCCACAATCCTACAGACTGGACAGACCCCAGAGAAGAAAATGGGGACTTCCCAGGGAGAGATGGAGAGAACCAGGCTGTAAACAGGGCTCTCTGTCAGACAGTGACATGGAAAGTATATCTAAGCCCACCTTCTGCAGCTCCAGGCGATTGTCCTCCTGGATTCGCTTGTTCCTCTCCTTCAGATCCTTCTCGTCCAGATGGCTGATCCCTTTCTTTTCCAGTGCCTTTAACAGAATAGCCAAGGGAAGCTGTGGAACCCAAGGACCTGCACAGCCCCTCACTGGCCAGCAAATGCTATTCCATTCACCCATTTCTGCTGCTCCAGTAAGGTCTGATGCTGTTGAAGGTCCCTAAATCACTCAAACACTGCTCCTGAAGCCTCTCAGCAAACCCAGGCCCAGCCCACATAGCCCATTTGGCCTGGTGAGGTGTCAGCACAGCAGTATCATGGAATATCTGTTATAACAACAGTACCTGACCTTAAAGATCATGTTGTTCTACTTCCTGCCATGGCCAGGGACACCTTCTACTAGACCAGGGTGCTCCAAGCCCCACCCAACTTGGCCTTGGACACTTCCAGGGATCCAGGGGCAGCCACAGCTGCTCTGGGCACCCTTTGCCAGGGCCTCCCCTCCCTCACAGCCAACAATTCCTTTCCAATATCTCATCTAACCCTGCCCTCTGGCAGTGGGAGCCATTCCGCTTGTCTTGCCCCTCCAGGTCCTTGTCCATTTCCTCTCCAGCTCTCCTGAAGCCTTTTTAGCCACTGGAAGGAGCTCTAAGGTCTCCCCAGAGCCTCCTCTTCTCCAGAGAGTCTTCTCTTCTCTCTAACCCTGAATGCTTCCAGTTCTCTGTCACTACTGTAGCAGAAATGCTGCACTCCCTTTACCATCTCCATGTCCCTGACCCAGTAAATGCTGCCCAGCAGTCAGCTGGTGCTCTCCCAGCAGCTCCTGCCCTCAATCTTATCTCACTGCCCTGGATACAGACCCCATCTCAGGCACAGATGCCACTGACTCCCCCTGCCTGTTCCCTTTGGCTGCAGGGACAGTGCAGAGCTCACCTTGCTCCAGATGAATGTGCCCAGCAGATTGTTGTCCCCGAAGGGATTGTCAGTGTTGGTGTAACCCATATACTCCTCACCCCAGCCCATCTTTTCCCGCTTCTTTCTCTCCTTGGCCTCCTTCTTGGCCAACCTCCGTGCTCGCTTCTCCTCGGGTGTCTCCAGGGCCTTTAGCAGAGCCGCCTGTTTCTTCTTCTCCTCCCTCAGCCTCAGCCGCTCCTGCAGGCTCAGCTGCTGCCCCGGCTCCTCCCGGCCCCGGGGCCGTGGCGGGGAGGGGGAGCTGACAGAAGACACGGAGGACTTGGATCCATCCCTCCTGCGGCGCCGCTCCCGGCTCCGCGCTGCCCTGTCCCGCCCGCGCTCCGGGCTGGAGTCGGAGGAGCGGCCCCGGGACCGTGAGCGCTGTTTCCTCCGGTCCTTATGGTGCCGGTCCCGGCTGCTGCTCCTTTTCTTCTTTTTCCATTTCTGTCTCTCATCGCCGAAGTCCGAGCTGGGGGGGGGCACAGCCGGGCTTCAGCGGGAGACGACTACGGCCGTGCCGGGCACGGAGCGTCTTTCCGCCGCAGGTGAGGCCGGTCCAGCACCGGCGCCACCGGCAGCGCCGAGACAGCGAGGGGTACCTGCACCCCCCACCCCTGATCACCCCAGGCCGGTGTTTGCCTTGAGACCGCCCGCCCGCCTCCAGTCCTCGGCCCTACCCGACGCCGGCGGGACCTGCACTCCCTCCCGTCCCCCGCCGGCCCCGCGGTGGGGACAGCGGTTCGGGCCGCGTGGGCCCAGGCACAGCAGCTCCGCTCTCCCGGGCCCGCTCCCCCACAGACACCGCGCGGCCGCTCCGGCCCAGGCGCCCACTCACCCCGAGCTCGGCTCCCGGCGTCGGCCCCGACTCCGGCTCTTGCTCCGGCTGCGGTGCCGCCGCCCGCGGCTCCCGGACCGCGAGCGTCCCCGATCCCGATCCCTTTCTTTTTCCCGGTCCCGGTTCCTTTCCCGCTCCGAGCGGCCGCCCCGGGCCGGGCTGCGCGACCCGGAACCCATGAGCAGCGGCGGCTCCGCCCCGGGGCCTCGCAGCGGCTCCGCGCACCAGGCTGCCCCGCCGTCCGCCTGCGCCCGCCCCGCCCCAGCGCAGACAGGCGGGCGGCGGGGCAGCCCCGTGTGGGGGCGGGGCAGCCCCGTGTGGGGGCGGGGCAGCCCCGTGTGGGGGCGGGGCAGCCCCGTGTGGGGGCGGGGCAGCCCCGTGTGGGGGCGGGGCAGCCCCGTGTGGGGGCGGGGCAGCCCCGTGTGGGGGCGGAGCGCGGCCCCTCCCGCCAGTCCCGATCCGCGCCCGCGGCGCCCACAGAGGAGGCGGACACCCTGGAGAGCACAGCACAGACTGCAGAACGCTTTATCAGAGCGGGGTACAGATCTCTGGAAAAGGGGCTCCCCGGAGAAGGAGGGGAAAAACCCTCAGAACAACCGAGAAAGAAAACGAAAAGCGCTCACGCTTCGAGTCCCCGGAACAGAGACGGGGTAACACCCCAGCATCGGCCTCCCCGTCCGGCCGCAGCGCCCGCTCCCCCTCCGCCGTACATTCGGCACACGGTTCACGCGCAGCGCGGACACGGACATGTATGGGAACAGCGACATCCACGGGGACATCCACCGGGACACGCGTGGGGACAGGGACAGCCACCAGGACAGACATGGACAGAAAAAACCCCTCAGACATGACCCAAGACGCCTCAGCCCTGGCTTTCTCCTTGTGCATTCGGGAAGCGCTGGAGCAGTGGCTGGAAATGAGAAGGGGAATGCGGGGGGTGATGGAGCCCTGCAAACGCCTCTGTGTGCCTTGGACCAAGACCTAAGAGTGCTCTGGCTTCACTAAAAAACTCCCCAAAGTGCAATTCCAGCACATGTGGCCGGACAGGCAGTGGCAACCCAAAGCTGCATTCCCTCTGCGCGTGTTGAGGATCTCTCTATGAGCTCCTGGGTTTGCCCTAGAGCCTTTAGAGAAGCCTGACTGCAAACTCAGACAGGGACAGAGATGACCATTTTCTCCTGCCAGCCCCTTACCTAGCAGGGAGAGTTTACCTGCAGCCCCAGCACCAGGCAATGGTCAGGGCATGTCCCAAAGAGTCTGAGATCACAGCTGGGACAATGGGGGATGAAGGACAGCAGTGCTCCCTATATGGGAAGGGGCTGTCCTCAGAGTACAAGACTTGTGGTGCCTTCTTTAATGATGGATTGCCTGGACAGCACCTGCTGGGTCACTCAAGAGAGCCCAGCAGAGAACAGCAACTCAAGTCCAGAATGAGCTGAAGAGCAGCTGAAGGAACACTCAGACCAAGGACACTCTTCCCATGGTCAAGTGCTGTTCCTGCCCAAGCAGCACTGGCAGTGCCTGTGACATACTCCAGAGCTTCTGCTGCTCCCCTGCAGCAGTGTGCAGAGGGGGTCAAGAATGAGTGCTAAAAGCCAAGGTCCTTTCAGCCTCTGTGGGAATCGGAGGCCAAACAGTTCCCCAGCACTGAACTGCTGGGACAGGAGGTGACATGGCAGGGACTGTGCCAGCCTGAACAGGGGCAGTTACTATTTCAGATCAGCATCTGCCTACAGGAAGGTTCCTCCTTGTCCCCTTGACAGAGCTGTTCTAAGCCTTTGCTTGTCCTCTTACAGGGCCATGCCACCCTGTCCAGCATTACAGAACTGCACAAGGATCATCTCAAAAGGGGAAGACAGTTCTTTGAATGAATGTGCTGCAGGAGCTCAGGGTTCACTCCCCTCTCTCAGGACCCAAGCACAGCTCCAGCTCACAAAGCTCATTCTCTGGGACGCTCTGGGTACAGAGGCCAAGCAGCTTTAGAGACCCCCTAGAAACGAGGGGAAGGAATTAAATCTCCATCAATGATGCTTAAACCATCTCAAAAAAGATGCTTGACTTCAGGCGGCTGGAAAGTCCTGATGAGGCCAAACCCTCCAGCCCTTGACTGAGGTGGTCCCAGGGCAGGGGCCTGGGTCAGAACAGCTCAAGCCCACCCCAGTTCCCCCCTGGAGCCCCCTCCTCCAGCACAGCACCCAACAGCAGCAACCGCAGTAGGGATGTGGCTCCCTCTGGCTGTTCCACACACACTGCTGGAGGAAAAAGAGGCTGAATTTTAGCTTTTTGAAGCCACTTGCCTTGAACCCAAAGGCAGATGAGGCTGTAGGTATTGCACGGTTCCCATTCCCCTTCACGAACCCCTGAGCCCCCCCAGCCTGCAGAGCCCCCCGGGTGGCACATGAAGGTGGGATGGGGCAGGAGCTGCAGCTGGGAAAACAAGCTGCCAAGCAGCAACAGGGTAAAGTTTTTTGAGAGACTTTTGATAGACTATTTGGTAAATACACAGATACATGAACAGCAGCAACTTGCACAATCCTCAGACCGTGCTCCCAAGAAGCAAAACTCACAGCCTTCTGCATCTACAGGCAGGGAAGGGAAGTCCAGGTCCTGTATTCTGGGCAAGAAAAAACCATCAATTCCTGAAGATTCTCACTAAGTTCAGTACAGTACAGAAGGAAGAGCTTCCCATCAGCCCCGCTACCTTCTGGGACCCAACATAACTGCTCCTGAGTGCTGCTGTGAAGACAGATTGTGGGGACTGAGGTCTGAGAGCAGGGTCCCGCTTCCTCATCGCTCTACATGGAATCCCAAGGACAGTGAAGATTGTAAAGGAAATAGAGATTTCAACCCTCTTTCTCAAGTGAGGTTCATAAAGCACATGAATAAGACCTGTCTCCCTCTGTTCTAAAGGATTTCCTGTTTTCTCTCTGGGAGATGAGGATGGGATTGCTGGATTCCAGACTATGCTATGATACGTATACTGCTGATGGATGAACCTGAACACTACCCCGTGACATCAAATTCTCTCACCTATAGCTCACAGCTCTTGCAAAGCAAACCCTCTAAGACACCCGCAGCAGGGATTTCCACCAGCAGATGTGACCCCAGGCAACACCCCAGTCACCCAGCTTTCTGTCCAAGAGTCCATGAGCACAGCAGTGCTGGCACAATTCTGCGGTGGAGCCAGGCTCCCATTCCTGCCTCCAGTGTGTGGATGTACCCTTGTCTCCCTGCCTGCCCTGAGGGGCAGAGGGGACAGTGTGAACCCAGCGTCCGTGACCCCAGGGTACAGCCATGAGCACATGAAGGGCTGAGCGGCTCCAGGAGGATGCAGGGTCTGAACAAGCCCCACGTGGGCTGGGCAGAGTGGGGAACTCGCCCTCCAACATGGCCAGGCTTTGGAGGTGCCCAGTTCCCACTGGTCTGGAGCAGGCGGCGGCCGGTTGGATGAAGTGTGGACTCCAAGCACAGAGGGAGAAGTGGTGCAGCAGTGCAGCACAAGGTGAAGGTGCAACCCATCCTGACTTCAGGGAGAGCTGAGGAATCCACGTCACTGTCACCAGGAACTGTGTGCTGCCCCGCACAGTGTTACAGACAGGAGAAGTCACTAGAGAGTTTGGATCCAAGTGAATTGGCATGGCTACTTTGAACTATGGTAACATGGGAGCAATTCTATTCCATGGCCTTTAATACATTTCATTTTCATAGCACCTTTCATCCCAGGGTTTAAGTGCTGTAACAGAAGCAGGTACTGTGCACCCATTAGCATGGGGGAAACTGAGGCACAGAGTGGTTAGTGACTCGCCTTGGGCCACTTGGAAAAACCGTGGCAGAGTCTGGACAGCCTTAAACCTCCTGACTCCCTCAGCTGGTCAGACCACACTGCTGCCTCACATGAAGCCACTCCCCTCTCTGCCCTCCCCAGCAATGTGTTCCTACCCATTCTTCAGTGAAGTCTCATGCTCCTCTTTGATGCACAAATATATGACAAAAAAAAAAAAAAAAGAAAAAAAAAAAAGGAAAAAAGAAAAAAAAGTGCAGTAAACTAAATATTTAAAAAAGCACATTTGTGCTGTCTCTGTGCAAAGATAAAAGAAATAAATACATGATTAAAAAATTAAAAAGGTTCACAGTATCACACATGGATAGGTAGCTACGGTAGTGCATGTCTGGAAAACACTGTGTTACTACCCAGGATTCTCTACACCCAGCTGGAATTCTCTGCTGGGAGCTGCGGGTGAGTGGGTGGTTTCTTTGCTGCCCACATCTGGGGTAAGTAGAAATACATGGTTATAGTTTTGCTCCATTCTGAAACGCAGTACCCAGGATCCTGCAGTGCAGCAATACTGGTGTCAGCAAGCTCTTCCCCATCCCACTGGAATGGCTGCATCAACGAAAAGGGAACACATCGACCTGCAGAGGGAATCGCTGCTCTCTGGGACTTCTGTGTCTGCATAGAGATTACTGCAAGAGGCAGAGAGAAGAGAGTCACAGAATCATGGAATTGTTATGGTGGGGAAAGACCTCCAATACCCATATCAGCCATCAGCCCAGTACCACCACCATGCTCACCACTAACCCATGTCCCCAGGTGCCACAGCCACACATCATTTGAACACTTCCATGGACTGTGATGTCACCAATGCCCTGGGCAGCCTGTTCCAATACCTGATACAATACCAACACAAAGCCCTTTCAGTCAAGAAACATTACCAAATATCCAACCTAAACCTCCCCTAGCACAGCTCGAGGCTGTTTCCTCTTGTCCCTTGTTCCTTGGGAGCAGAACCTGACCACTACCTGGCTGCATCCTCCTGTCAGGGAGTTGTGGTGAGCAAGATCTTCCCTGAGCCTCCTTTTCTCCAGGCTGAGTCCCCCCCCCCAGCTTCTCCTCATCACACTTGTGCTCCAGCCTCTTCCCCAGCTCCACTCCCTTCTCTGGACATGCTCCAGCCCCTCAATGTCTTTCTGGTTATGAGGGGAAAGAGGATCAACCCTTGAGCACCAGTGCCCACATCAATCAGGTCTGCGTCCCACCAACTTCCCAGCACAACCAGAGAGGCTGTTCTACATCCTCCAGAATTGGCAACGTCTGGAAAACCTGAGCTCTGCAAAGCTTTCCCTGCACCAAACAACCAGGAATAAGCCAGAGTCCTTGCTGAGCAGGCCGGGGCTCTGCCAGCACAGAGCTGACCTGAGAGGCAGCTGGGCTCTGCTGCAGCCATGCAGGAGCCCCACACTGCCAGAGGCCAAGCTGACTTTGCAGAGGGAGCACAGACTCTGCTGACTCGACCCACCGGGCACCCAGCACATGGCTGTTGGACACTTACTGTATCGCTCTCCTCATCGGAGACAGAGTGGAGCTGAGCGCTATAGTGGAGCGGGGAGTAAACCCAACTCCTCTCGTCTGTCGGCTGCCAGAGTGGCCAGAGACGGCAAGGAGAATGCAGGGAGAGCAGCAGCAGAGCAGGGAGCAAAGGAGAGAAGAGGAAAAAATAAAAGGAGAAAATAAAAAGAGTAGGAAACAATACAGTAAGAACAGCTGTCCACCCGGAGGGAGAGGACTGAGCCCAGAGCCAGCTCTCAGTAGAGAAGCCCTCCTCATCCTCAACACATACCTGCTTCCTGCCAACTGGGACATGGCACCTGTGCCAGCTGCAGTGGGGGTGGCACAACCTCTCCTCTTGTAGGGACAGAGTTTTAGAGCTTTTGAGATGTCAGGGGAACCTCAGCTCCCTGCCATGGCATCACCCGGCTCCAAAGAAATCGAGAGATTTGGGAAGTGACTTACCTAAGAGCAGTAACAGCTCCTGCTACCTGCTACCAGCTGTCACCCTCCCATTTCCAGAGCCCTGTGCATGCTACAAAGTGGTGTCCAGGCTTTTACAGGGAAACTGGATTTGTTTGCTGTGCCTTCCTCCTCTGCAGAAGGCAGCGGAGTTGAGGTGAGACCATGGTGGATGGTGACCACAGAAAGGAAACAGTTATTGCTGAGATCCTGGGGACAGTGGGGTGATGGGAACAAGTACAACACAGGAGGCAAAACACAACCAGACCCTGGAAAGAATGAGGGGAAGGAGGTATGCCTTGAAGGACAGTTATCACAGCACTGGGTATTGGTGTGAGAAGACACACTCTGCTGCTGACACAGCACAGATTCAAGGGCTGGTCTCTGCTTCCAGGGTTCCCAGGGGGGCCCATTTACATTTGTCTCCAGGGGAGCTCCCACAGAGTCCCCACTTTGACCCAGCCTAGCATTTGCAAAGAAAGAGAAGCAGAACTGGGTGCCTGGAAGAAGCCTGAAGTGTTCCCAGCCCAGGAACTGAGTGTGACAATCTACAATGTACAATGAACTACAAGAAGTCAGAGAGGCTTTGAAGCACTGGGCTCCACATGCTGAACCCTCCAGTAACTACAGCTCCTTTAGTAAAGACTATTAGGAGGAAGGAAGGTTGAGAAACCCCTGTCTGGAGCTTCTCACAGGGCTCTGTCAGAGGTACAGGAAAGCTCCCCACCACATCAAGCTTGTTCCACCTCCTCTTTTTCATCCATGATGGTTCATCCATCCTGACTGAACCCCATGCTCTGGCTAGTCTCTTTCAGAGCCTTTTAGGAGCCTGGATGCATGCAGGGAGCTGCAGGATATAAAGGAGCATCCAGTGCTTGCCATTACCCCTCCTAGTGCCAAAGAGCCAAACCCAGCTGAGGGGCAGGAGGAGTTGCCTGTTTGCTCACGGAAGTGCAGCACCTTCCTCATGCCATCAGCCATGGCCAGGGGCACATTCCTGACCCTGCTTCCCCATGCATCCTGCCTGTAACCCAAATGGGAGCACCAAACTTCACCAGCGAGGCTCTGGCAGCACTGCCACCACCCCCTGGCTTCCCAAAGCCTGAGAAGATAAATGCTAAACCTAGAACAATCTCAGCTCTAGATTCAGCCCCTAAAAGCTCAAATGCTTCCCTGCATCTTTTGGAAAGGAAAGTCCTCCCTGCTCACAGAACACCTTCAGTGAGGAGGGAGCACACTGGTGATGCTGAGAAGGGCTGGAGAGCTCTAACCAGCCCTAACTCAGCACCAGCTCCTGCCTCACTTGGTTTTTGAGCTGCTCCCCACAAGCCAAAACAGCTCTGTTTGCCTGGGGCAACAGGCTAAACTGGAGTTTTAGAAGCTTCAGAACATCTTAATGGTCTCTTTAAAACCCTCTCCCTGGGCTGAAGTTGCTGAGTCTGACATCACCTATAGAGGCTAGTGCCTCTCTGGCCAGATCTGGTACTTAGAATCACTGAGCAGTTTGGGTTGGAAGATCACTCACTATCCCCCCTTGCCATGGACAGGGACACCTTCCACTATCCCAGGTTGCTTCAAGCCCATCCAGTCTGACCGTAGACATTTCCAGGGAGAGGGCAAGCACAGGTTCTCTGGGTAACCTGTGCGAGGGCCTCGCTGCTGTCACTTTTCCCAAAGGCTGGGTGACACTATGGCCCATTCCAGGGTAGGAGCTGTCACCAGTCTGCATAAAAGCAGGACAGAGCTCATGATTCTCTCTGATCCTACAAGGAGATCCACTGGTGTCATTTCAATATGCTTCCCCTATTTCTGCTGGGCTGGTTCCTAATGCCCACTCAATGCAGAGCCCCAGCTGTTGAGAGAAATGAGGTGCTGGCCCCAGTGTTTCAAAGCTGCAGCTCTGCTCCCCTATATGCTGTGCTGGCATGGTCACTTACAATCCCAGAGGAATGCGAGGTAGTTCGGAGTCTGCGCTGGCGGGGAGAGTAAATCCAGTACCTCCCATCTGTGAACTGGGTGGCCCCAGGACAAGTGAGGTGAGAAAGGAAACAGAGGAAAAAAAGGATGACGTGAAAGAGAGGATGAAAGAGAAAGCAAAAAACAAGGGGTTGGGCAACTCCAGGCCTGAACGGGTGAGCAGGTGGGAAAGCCGTGCAAGGAAGAGCGGCGCCCATGCCCTGCCACACTCTGTACTTTTATTTCCTGGGGATGAATAGGAGAATGAAGTGCTCTCCCGGAGCAGACTTCCAGTGGTCAGATCACAGTCCCCTGGGACTGGCCAAATCCTCCTCTGCACACACCATCCCTTCACCCACCACTGCCCCTAAGCACTCCTGCAGGAGCAGCTGCGGTGCTACTTAAGCACAGGTGTGCAACCTCACCTGAGCTCCAGCTCAAGTGGTTTTCCAAGGACCCATGGGAACTCAAATCAGCTTTTCCCTTCATCCCAGCAGTGACAAACACTCCACAGCACACGACACACATTTAATGCAAAACTCAGACTCAGATGAAGTATGAAATGCTGATGAGCAGTCAGTCACACTCTGTGAACACACTGCAGAATTTCCTCTTGGATAGAGGTGCCCCTCAAGCGGGGGGGAGTCCATATGCCCAGGGACAGGGAGGAAGAACAGCTGACCCTTGCTAGAAGACACTTGCCAGGGGAGCAGGCAGGATCTGCCTGCACACAACTGCCATCCACAGGCAAGGAGGGGGCAGCAGTGTTAGAGGAGCTGTTTGCATTTTGAACAGCATGCGTCCAACCCCAAACAAGCTGTAAAACAGGGCTGATTCCTTCCACAGCTCCCACGAGCCTCAGAGTGACTAGGCAATGAGTGAGCAGCTCTGCAGCAGAGTCACAAGAGCCCAGGGAAAGGCCAATGCTGCATTTTAGTTTAGCCTGAAGGAGCCCATTGCATGGGCTTAGGTCATCTCCAGCACCACAGAACCAACAGCAACAAGTCGGAGCAGGGAGGAGCCGGGCACCTCTTTTAATGAGGGTTCCAGTGCTCAGGCACGAGAGAGAGTTCAGCTCTCATGGGACAGGCACTCAGCTCTGCTCTGGGAATCCATGGGACAGGTACGTGTTGCTAAAAAACCTCTTCTCTGGTCTGCAGAAGTTGCTCAGCCATTGTGGGAGCTGAGTGAGGACCAGCGCCAGGCTCCACGGCACTCTGCTGCCAACAACCAACTTACTCCCTGGCTCAGCACTAGACTCCCACTGCATCACCTAATGCAGCCTGCAGGGAAAGGAAAAGTCGGAGTTCACCAGAGCCCAAGGTCACCCTCTGTAATCACCTCCCTTTGGGTCTAGGCCATGTTTATGTCAGGAAAGCAGCCAAGATCTCTGGCTGAGGAAGGAAGAACCTCTCTGTTGTACCCACATCACTTTGGCTTGTTCCAGGAACAAATGTGCTGGCCTAGATAAGCACTTGTGCTTGAAAGTAGAGCAGTATAGCAACAGCTACATCCACAGCAGGAGTGCCATCTGTGTGAGCCCCACTAGATGCTGTTTTGGGTTCTCCAAGTTTAATCCAGCTCCCTGCATTAAAAAACCCACCCAGCACCAAGGTATCAAGGTGCTCCACATCAAGATGCTGCAGGGCAGCCATTGCCCTGCACCCAACTGCCTGGAACAGATACTGACAGCCTTGTCCAACCCTTCCCATCACACCCCAAGGGTCAGGTGGAGAAGGTCTCTTACAAAGTATATGTCTGTGACTGGCACGTCGTCTTCATCTGAGGCCTGGCTGGCTGGTTCCGAGGCCTGGCTGGCCGTCTCCACCTCTACAGTGGCTGTGGATGTGACAATGGCACAGGCTGAAGAAGCTGCCTCTCTGCAGAGGGGAAAGAAATTGACAGTCCAGTCATTGCAGTTAGGACAGGAGCAAGCAAAACTGATTTATTACAGAGGAGCGGAAGATGCTATGCTGTCACATCCTGAAAGGTCACGTCAGGGCAGGTCAGGTCAGAACTGTGCTCAGCCTCACCGAACACCCATGACTCCACCAAAGCTGGAGCCCAGAAAAGCCTCCAGCACAAGTAGCCACAGCTCAAAACCCACTGTGTAGGCTCTGCTCAACACTCTAAAACACTCACTCTTTGACTTCTTCAGGAGCTACAATCTCAACGTCACACTTGGGCTCCAGCTCGACGCTGATTTGCTGAACCTCCTCCTCGACCCGCACCTCCTCGTGTGACCTGGAAACCAAAACGACAGGCCCAAAGACTCAGCTGGGCATGAGTTATGCATAGCCCTCAATTTTACGTCAGCCTGAATCGGTTCTGAGCCAGCCACGCCTCTTGTGCAGCTCTGCCCCAGCACACAGCTGCTGCTGCTACTGTGGCACTGCGCTCCCAGCACAGACTTAGTGGCTGATTTCAGCTCAAAGGGAGCACTCAGACCTCCCAGGACCGAGGGTTTCGATAACCAAACCTCCCAGGAAAAAGAGTCAGTCCTGGAAGATTGCAGCACTCAGGAATAACAAGGTGGGAAAAGAGGACAAGAGCAAAGGAGTTAAACAGCTAGTGCTGCAGGAAAGATGGGCAGTGTCAGATGGAGCATTGGAGCAAAGAGAACTGACCTCTAGGGAAAACTTGTGTCCAGAGTTAGCCTGGCACCAGGCCAGAGCCTCTTTCAAGACTCCCACCACACCAAAGCTGCTCCAGGGTTGAGATTAGATTTATCTGCGCACTCTGAAACTGTTTCTGACAATCTTCATTTTAATACCTCATACTATTAAAGTAATTACTTGTGCCAGCAGGGCTGGCTCCACTGTCCCTATGGGAAGGAGGAGCAGGAGCCTGCTAAACTGAGGGGCAGTTGTCAGAGAAGGGCTGAGCTCTGGGTTCACTGACAGCACTGCCCTGCTCCAGGCTGGCTCTGACCAGAGCTGGGGCCAGTGGGAAGCATTTCTGTCCAGCTCCACGCAAGGAACTCACTACACTCTTCCTCACAGGGCTGGACCTCATAAACCTGGAGTGAATTCCCCAGCAGACCAGAATAACCAGAGGTGTGACACATTCTTGAGTAAATTGGGTAAGGATGACACATTCTTGAGTAAATTGGGTAAGGATTTTTCCATCTAAGCTCAGGAATGTAAATTCTTACTTTAATAAATTTGTGCCTGCACTGGTTTTCACCAGAGAGTTCCATAAGTGCACAGGTCCCTACTCTCCCATGTGTAGGGCACATGGAGGCACTGGTACTAGAAAGGGACAAATTAGGCAGAAAACAGCAAAGGTGGCCATAGCTGCAGATGGTCAATGTAGCTCTGGCAAATCTATGACAGACAGATCTACTCTGACCAAGCCACTGAGCTCCCTGAATGCTCCCAGGTCAATGATTCACCTAACCTATTTCTGGATGAGCAGTTACATACTACAGCAGCTCCCTCCCTCCATGAGGTATCATTGAGTCTGAACTATTTTGGATGAAGTCACTGTGTTTGCCACGCAGGCCCCACCACTGGGGCCTGGGTTTAACTCTCCAATTTTCAGCAATTTCTAACACTGGATTCTGCAGGATATGAGGTGCTTCACAAGTCCCTGACACTTCACACAGTGAGCAGGTCCCTGCCCTCCAGGGACAGGAATTTACCAGGATTCAGCAACATGCAGCATACAGAGGTATTTTCATTAGGAATTATCACAGAAAGGGATTTTTTCACAGTGCATGTCAGCAAATCACTCAAAGCTTGGAACAACAGCAGATGCCTGTAACATGGGGAAAACTCTCATCTTCCAAAGACCTTTCCTCCCAAGCACCAAACACTGACTGCAGGGAGAGAGGACATCAGCATGTCAGGCTCCTCTGCCTATGGCACATCCCAGGATTGAGTCTCTGATGTAATTTCAAAGCCTACTACACCTACACAATGTCCTGGAAAGTGAGGGCAGAACCAGCAGCATCTGCTGGCTCCTTGTGCAGATCCTGCTGACAGGGGCAATGGAGTAATTTTTACTGGTGCAAAATATTTCCACAATAATGCACAATAATTTCATGATATGAGCCTCTAAAATCAGACACCCCTCTGCAACACAGCATTTCTGTCCTTCCTTGCCCTTGGCTCTGAGACACCACAGGAGGGAAGAGGACTCACAGATTTCTGAAAACACTGGAAACTACTTCTGTGGGGACTGAGGGTGCTTAGGGCCTAACAAAGTCAAAGCCCTTTCACTTTGCCCAGGCCACAAGCAGATGGTCAGAGGAGGAATGTTCCTCCTGTCAGGGCTCACTTACTCGCTTAAAGGGACTTAAATGATGTTCCTTGACTCTGGTGCTGGGTGGGTGGGTAAATTTGGACAACACTGTTGTCCCCTTTCCTATCAAATAACTGTAGCATTTTCAAAGCACTAGGAGATCTGCTTTGCAAAGAAAATTCTGTGTAAGAAATGGGGATTGTCTGATTGCAGAAGCAGCTCAGCATCTATGCCAAAATCCTGGAGCTGCTGAAATTCCCACTTAACCCTCTAAGAGACCTTTGCACAGGGATAAACATGAGGTCTCTGTCCAGCAGAGAGAAGATGAGACAAGAAAATAGGAGACACATTTCTCACCTGCCATCCTGCCCTGAGGAGTGTGTACGCCTCCTGCAGAAAGAAAATACGAGAGTTTGGAGGAGCAATTTAAGCCAGAAATCCTCCACTGTCCCCAAATCTACCTCTACATCCCATGAGGAAGATGTTCTACTTAACAGCTGACACTTCTGCCAGCAATAATTAATCCCTTCAAAGCTGTGTCTGCTTGCTCCCAGGAGAGATTTAATTAAAATTGGTCATCAGCATTCCAGTGTGCAGGGCAGCCTGCTGGGATCTGCAGCACAGAGAGGAATGGCAGCCACTCGACACCAGTGGGAGCAGGGGAAGTGTCCTCACCTGTACCTGGGCTGCTCAGAGGTCTCCGAGGGGGATCGCTCAGGAACAGAGAGAGATGTTGACGATAGTGTCGTGGCTATGGAGGCTGTGGTAGCTTCTTCAAAGGAAGGAGGAGTGCAAGGGAGTAGGTCTGGCCTGCCTGCTGGCCCAGAGCAGGGCAGGGGAGAGGCAGGAAGAAGATATGATTCAGTCAAACACCAACACTGACTACACCAGCCCCTTGTGAGGTTGTTCCACTGTGAACCTGCACGCCTGCACTGGGACTGGGCACTCAAACCACAGACAGGCAGGAAGTTTAGCTGAGTCCATGAACATGACAGCCTCTCCCAAGGCGTCCTCTGGAGAGAGCCAGTCAGCACCACTTCCACCACAACAGGCAGGGAATAGAATGCCAATGAAGACTTCTCATGGTGACCAAAGCTGGATTAAAGGCTTGGATCACCAGGGATAAATATCCAAGTGAATTAAGACATGAACTGAGTGTCCAGTGTTTTGCACAGGGAGCAATCCAACACCCATACACTGGAGGACCTTGTCAGATAGATGTAGCCAGATAGAAGTGAAGGAAAGGCAGCACAGAAGCAGCCCATTCCTCTGTTTTCCAATGGCAAGATCCTGCCTGTTATAACTGCCCAAACAGTGTCATTGGAGTGCTGCAGTTCCCAGTCACACCCCCCCCCCCCCCATATTTTTTAAACAGTAGAAAATGCAACTTTTTGTTGGCTTTTGGGCTATGATTTATGGTGCCCCTTGGCAGCAGCTGTCTTGCAGCAGTGATGCAGGCGACCATTTTTAGTGCAGAACCCCACAGTGCTGCAAAGAAGGGATTTGGTCTCCTTTGATGCAGAGGTGTAGCATCAAGTGCCTGCTGGTGCTGCAACAAAACAATGTACTCTTACCTTCTTCCCTGTCCTGGTTAGGTTTAGCACCTGCAAAGCACAGCAAGACATGCAATGAAGAGCTATCCATGAGGAAAGATCTGCAGTCGGTGCACAGTGGGGAACTTGATGAGAACAAGGGAGGATCCTAAGGAACTGCTAGGAAAGAGAGGGTAACCACAGAGCCAACACCCAGAGCGGGGCTGTCACCTTCATCGTCAAGCGTGGGGTAACTCCTGGCTGCCCGCAGGTCGTACTGGGTGTCATCCTTCTCAGAGGCCAGCTGGCTGGCTGAGAACGCCGCGGTGGGACCTGCTGTCTTCACGGCCAGCAAGGCACTACGCCCTTTCTTTGAGGGGGACGACTTCAGAGCTGGGGGAGGGAGAGAGACAGTCAAAGTACCACCACCAGCTACTGTCACACCAAAGGAATTTTTCTCTTCACAAGGAGAGGCTCTGCCCTCACATACATCCCTCCTGGACTGAACCCAGATCAGGTGCAGGGACTGGGTGTGAGTCTGAGCAGACCAAGGCAAGCTGTGACAATGTGAGGGCTCTGCAATTCTTAGTTTTGCTCTGTATCATGGCATATTTTGGGTTGGAAGGGACCTTAAAAACCCATCTCATTCCACCCCCTCCATGGACAGGGACATGGGCACTAGAGCAGGTTGCTGCAAGCCCTGTCCAGCCTGGCCTTGGACACTTCCAGAGATCCAGGGGCAGCCACAGCTGCTCTGGGCACCCTGTGCCAGGGCCTCACCACCCTCTGATTTCCTAACTTCTAATTTAACCCTGGCAGCTCAAAAACATTGCCCCATGCCTGTCACTATCTGCCGGCATAAAAAGTCCTTCCCCTCCTTTTTCTAAGCCCCCTTTAAGCACTGAGAGTGGCTCTAAAGTCTCCTGAGAGAAGGCTGAACACCCCCAGCTCTCTCAGCTGTACCACAGTGGAAAGCTCTGCTCAGGTTCCAGCTCAGACTCCTTGTGAGGGCTGCAGCAGCAAGGCCAAGGTAAAGGCTCACAGCACATCAGCCCCTGCACTTGGTACTTACAGGAATTCTTTCGAAATACTGTGTTGGTCATGAATTTGAAGAATCTCTCTGCATAAAAGCTGGGTCTGTGTACTGACACCGTGTCCTACAACAGCAAGAAGCAACTGTTTAATTTTAAAATGATCCCTCAAGGCAGAATTTCCCTAACAACCAACACAGTCTTTTTTATTCCAACATTTAGCACTGACAGAGCCTTAAAATGGAAAGGCTTAACTGAAACACTAATTAATGCTATAAATAACCCTGAAGCATTGCCTCTGATTGCATTTGATTATATTCTTGCTGTGATTTTATAATGGATTTTGGTGACTTTATTCCTTTGTAGACTTCCTGGATTTTTTTTAAACACTGGCCTGATTGCATAAATGAAATTTCTTCTGGCTTTGCTGGCTGCATTTCTAAGCACACCTGGATACCTTTGCATGTCACGCAGACACCCAAGTTTAGCCAAGGGTCTCGATACATTTCAAATATTTTTGTTTAGAATAGTAAAACTGAAGCTCTTTCTGCTTCTGATGTTTGACTGTGCTCCCATGACTTGGAATCTCCACATTTCCTTTGCCACATTAAGGGAAGCCAGGAAATGCAAGGTTGAAAAACGGTTCCCACAGCCAAGGTTGCTCTTCCAGAAACACCCACCTGGATGCTGCAGGAATGAAGCCAGCAGGGAAACATGGAAAGGGATTTTCTGGCAGAGAGCTTGCTGAAGTGAAAACAGCCAGTCACCAAAGAGAACAGCACAGGGCTCCTGACAGCCCAGGAACACACACACCCAGTGTGTGTTTCTGGTGTCATGGGAGGAGGAGAGGGACAGACAGGAACACGGGAGGAAAGCTGTGAGCACAAGAGCTCAACATGTGAGGAGCTGGATTGAGCAAGGAAACCTGGCTGGGAATAAGTGGCACCACCCTGCTGTGCAGGAATGAGAGGCAAGAACTGCTCCTTTCATCAGCTGCAGCTGTGCCAGGTCAGGCTCTATAAATAGCCACCTGCAAGACTTGGACAACTCCTGCCTCTGCACAGGCACTTACCCCATCATGGACAAGGGCCTTCCAGGTGTGTTCTAATTTCTTGATGAACCTAATTCCAAGGAGAAGTGGAGAGAAAAATAAAGATCCAGATACAGGCATGCACTCTGTACCAAGCCCCCTTTTATATCCTATGGAGGAGGTCCCTGAGCTGTCAATGTCACCACAACTGAGCTTTCTCCAGCATCTCCCCAGCTGGGTCAGGAGTGCCTGGGAACACCACAGGGAAGGAGGAGCTGGGCTAGAAAAGGTGCACCTTCCATCACTGGAGATATGCTTCCCACACTGAGGTGGGAAACTACTTCTTTATGAGCAGCTCATCATCCTGGACAAAAGGCTGTGTGTCCCCAGCTGTTCTAAGGACATGATGGAAGCCCATGGCCAGCTTGGGGCATGTACTCATCCCCACAGTCTCAAGGAGAGGACATCCCCCTGCCTTCATTTGGTACTAAAAGAGGTTATTAGCCAGAAAAGACACACTGCCAGGTTACCTACCTGTATGACTGCAGGATATCTATGATTCCTACGTGCAGCAGGAGACGCTCTCCTTTGCCATTCACTGCTGGGATCCCCCCCATCCTGCAGGTAAAGCAGAACTTCAGCACGTGCAGCCTCAGCCAGAGCACTCGTGACACCCAAGTTATGGGGAAGGGCAACAGCAGCTGTGCTAAGGGGCTTTAGTGTGGTGTCAGACACGTTAAAACCGGTGTGGTCACTTTGTGCACAACCATGGGAGTCACCGACTGACCTGGCCTGACCCCAGGTGTCCCAGGGTCACCGCCCGCATGGCCAAACACCACTGTCATGACAGACACATGACAGAATGTGTCGTATGGCACAGCTCTGCCTGGGCCAGAAAGCACCATGGAGTTTTTTCCTGCCTACTTTATTCTGGGGATCAGATTATTTATTTGGGTCAGCGAGAGATGTCTGCCACTAGGGCAGTAAACCCTTAAGGACAAGGGTATTTCCAGTCCTGTCCACACAGATGCCATCCTGCCAAAAGTGCAGCAGCCATCAGCACCAGCAAACAACCAAAGCACAGGAGTACCAGACACTCCTTTAGACAGCCACTGCAATTGTTGATGCTGCCTGAAGGACTGGAAACACCATGGTATTATCTCAGCTCTCAGGATTAACCCTCAATCAAACCCACAGCAGCTGGTTTCAGACAGCAGCAAACTACACCATTCCTTGGCCCAAGAGCCAGGGATCCAGGCGGAACCACAGATCAAGCACAGCACAAGCTTGGGGCAACCCCCAGCCTCCAGCTCCAACAGTGACACCAGCACTTGGCTACACTGCTATCTGCTAATTGCACTGGAATGGCTTCAGGGAACTGCCAGGGATTCCAAAGGTGGGAGTGATGGAGAACTGCAAGCTCCTACTGAGCTGATCCCTACTTCTGCTCCAGTATTTGGGTGCTAAGCTAGAACCGAGCTAGTGTCTCCTCCCCAGGGCATGGGTGGATGTTTCAAGGCTTGTTACACAAGCTAACAACCTACAGCCTGGCCTAAGAAGAGAGACTGCTGTGAGGCCATAGCCTTACAGAACTATTTCCTTCCTACCCTGGCTTCCCCCTTTCCCCCCACAATGGCAGCACTGTCAAAATCCCAGGAGAGCTGCTCCCTTGAACAGTTCCTGAGGGCCTCAGTACAGATTTCCCACTCCAGCCTCCACCTCTGTCCGTCCCAGCAGCACGAGCGAGCCCAGATTTCACCTACGTGTCGTCTGTGTCTATGGACTCCCCCCGGGCAGCCCCTCCTTGGATGGACTCCATGGCTGTGGAGTACAGGGCCTTCTGCCCCACAGGACGCTTCTCATCCGACGTGCTGTGGGCTCCCTCCGACAGCTGCTCCCGCTCGTGCTGGTCTATGTTATGAACCCCAAGCAGGAGGCTGTAGTCCATGATTTTAAAACTTTCCAATACCTACAGGTTAGTATCAAATTCAAGAACAAAGACAAAATATCAAGCCAGCAGCAGAAATACAGACCCTGAAGCATGGAATCAAAGCAATCAAAGCAAAGCATCCCATCCACATCCCCACTAACAAATCCTTTGACAGGGCCTGAATGTTTCTGAACCAACAATCAGCTCTGGGCTTGACTGCACAGAGTTTGGCCATCCCACAATCACACCAAAGGCCTGAAGGCTTGCAAACAACACCCTTGTATCTGCTGCACAGTGATTGGGAAAATGCTCTGGCAGAGCAGCTGCAAGTGGAGCCTAAGTGTGGTGCACCAGGCAAAGGAGAACAGCCTCAGTCCTCAGAGGCTGCCAGGAGATCCAACTCTACTGCTTGGCTTTCAGGGAAAAGGGCAGGAGAAAGGATTGATTCTACTCTGGGGTCAGCAGATTAGCAAGGTTCTCAATTGGGAATTGCTCTTCCTCATGCTTGAGAGCCACAGAAGTTCCTTACTCTGTCCCTGAGCTGCCCCCTCCTTACCAGACAGTCTCGCTGCAATGTCTTCACCAAAGCACTGAAGGTGTCTGCATCCAACATCAGGCCCTCGGGCATGTCTTGGATGAAGTCCAGATCCTTGTACGTAGGGCTGGACTTTTCTTTCTCCTTCTTGGATGCCCGGCGTTTGTAGGTTGAACCTTTGAGATCGAATTTCAGGTGCATTTTCACCACTCGAGGCAGGATGTTGTTCATCACGACCACGCGGATGTTTTTGCCCCCAGACTGCACACAGTACAGTCCATAAAACTTGGGCAGCAGTGTCCGGGGGTTCTGGTTCAGATTCTGTAGCAAGGGTGGGAAAAAAGCACGGAGAAAGGTTATTTGAGCAGAAAATTCCTGCTGTGTTCACCACAAAGCATGTCAACAGTTGGACTAGAGATTCTTTGCTGAGAGGTTTTCTGAACTTAACAGGAGTTCAGTGTACACATTCGACAAAGTCCTGCATTTCAGTGGCTTTAGGACCTGAAAATACAGGGACTGAGATGTTCAGCACTCTCTGGGCAAATAACCAAGTCCGGAAATCCCCTGTTTTTCTCAAGTACAGCAGCTAAAAAAAGGAAACCAAACTGGGAGAGAAATAAACACAATAAAAGGGAACTTCAAGCTTAAAAATAACAGCTCTCTTTATCTCTTCTTGATTCTTGTCAGAATCAAGAGCCATTCTCCAGCCCAGAATAAACCAAGGGACAGGGTTATTTTTTAAACAAAACAACATAAATGTTCTCCTCCTGTTGCAGAGTTGCTTTTTAAAGCAGTCAACCAGAGAGCACGGATATCCTGTTCTGCTGTCATCTCCTTTCTTTAGGCAGCAGAATAATTAGGAATGACATGACAGGCAGGATTTGCTTGTTCAGCTTTGGGCACATTTGGGAAGGAAACAGAACTTCTCTGCATGCTGTGGCAGGAAGGACAGAGCTGACATGTTCTGACAGACAGAAGAAACGTGACTGTATTAAAATTTCATTCCCTTCAACTCACCCACCTGAGCACAGCAGTGAGCCCTCTTGGAGAGTGCCAAAAGTAATAAAGGCAAGTAAATGGAAACAGCTTTAAAGTAACTCAGGATGAAACCACCCTGCTTCCTTTCCCTGACTCTTTTGATATGGGTGGTTTCCCAGGAGCAGCAGGGAGATCAGGGGTAGCACCACAGAACTCAGAGACAGTGGAAAGCTGCAACAGGTCGCTCAGAACTCTGCATCACACAGGTAAGTTCAGTTTAATTCACTGACTGATGGTGGCAGGATTAACAATGCAACTCCATTCCCCCACAAAACCCCACACCTGATTTACTACACACATTAGGCAACAGGCAGTTTTCCAAGAAAATTCATCCTGTCCAGGAATGCGAGTGTCACCTGCAAAAGCAAGTGACTCACAGAATCTCAGGATGGTTTAGGTTGGAAGGGACTGTAAAGACCATTTGGTTTCACCCTCTGCCATTGGCTGGGACACCTTCCATTATCTCAGGGTGCTCCAAGCCCCATCCAACCTGTCCTGGAACACTCATAGGGGTCCAGAGGCAGCCACAGCTGCTCTGAGCAGCCTGTGCCAGGGCCTCCCACCAGAATTTCTTTCTGGCCTGCCTGCCACTAACACACAGACGTCCCATAATCTGCCTCTCTTGGGTAAATTTTCCCCAGTAAATACTGAGTGAGGAAAGGATTTTCACAGAACCACTGTAAGATCACATAAACCCACTGCACAAGGCACACAGATGGGGCAGCAGCATTGCTTCTCATCACCTTCTCCTTGGCATCTTCACAACAAACAAATCCCTGGTTGTTGTAATGAATCTTGAATGTCAAGATTCCTCATCCATAAAGCTGGAGCCTCCAGCACAGCTGTGCAGGGAGACCAGCTCCTGGTTTTTACACCAAAAATTCTGATTTACTTGACCCAATGCAAGTCTCTGGGTCTCAATATCCTGCACTGCCAGAATGATATGCAAAACTGGCTGGTACCATGGGAGATTCCAGCCTGGAATTGCAGAGATGGGAGTTAGAACAATCCTCAGAATTACAGTCAAACAGCAGGAATGGCAGAGATTCAGGGACAGCAGTGCTTTCCCCAAAAAACCACAGTGGTTGCATTACTGCCTGGAGAAAAGGAAGCTCAGGGGGACCTTTTGCTCTCCTCAAGTCCCTGACAGGAGGGTGCAGCCAGGTGGGTGTCAGGCTCTGTTCTCAAGGAACAAAGGACAGAATGGAAGGAAATAGCCTCAAGTTGTGCCAGGGGAGGTTTAGGTTGGATATTAGGGGAAATTTCTTCATGGAAAAGGTTGTAAAGGATTAAAACAAGCTGTCTAGGACAGTAGTGGAGTCGCCATTCTTGGAAGCATTCAAATAATGTGTGGCTGTGGCACTTGAGGACAAGTTTTAGTGGTGACCATCATGGTGCTGAGCTGAAGGCTGGACCTGATGATCTTGGTTGTCTTGGTGGTCTTTTCCAACCTTAAGAGTTTTACTATTCTGTGATGGCTGCAATCAGCAGCCATCCCCAAATGCAGGCTGGGGCAGATGCATGCTGCCAAACGAAGAGAAATTAACTGGTTCTGGGGAAAGAACACTCAGAAACACACACCTGGGAAGCCACTCTAGGCTAGAACATGCCTCCAAACTACGGCACAATTATCTGCCTCATTTTTACCCACAGAGTTTGCAAATAATCAGTGATTTGTGCTTCTGGGACTGGCTTCAAGACATGCTGTTAACACTGTCCTTGGCATGGGGGCAGGCCACAACACACCCAGGTGGAGGACATGCCCTGTGAGATGCTCTGCCATGACAAAAAAGCTGCCACAACAAAGCTGAGCTGGGTTCAAGGTCCTGAATGATACTCACCATGTAGTATCCAGGAAGGAGCTTCTGCAGGAATTCAGCTTCCTTGTGCATCACAGTTTTTATGATGAACTCATCGTCGCTGGTGACATAGAAGAGGGAGCCGCTGGCCCCGGGGTTGGACAGCTCGATCAGAGGCTCGTTACATAATGAATACTGGCAAGAAAAAGAGAAGAAGGTGATGTTTTATCCCCTGTTTATTGCAGATTTGAGTTCTATGCCTTCAAGGACCTTCCCAATCATGTTGTCTCCCTGGGAGATTAAAGAGTAGCAAAGCTCAAGTGACAACTATTTTCATTATAGGTTAGGTCTGAGCAGCCAAACTGATGGACAATTTATAATTAGAGACTAAGATTACAGTTCAGAGCATCCCAACTGCTCAGTATCCCATTAATCATCTGCTTTCAGGAATATCCAGCCTTCATAATGACATCTTATCTGTTCTCATTGTGCCTGCAAGCACGTATCACATTCAGGCTCTTTGAGCACAGCCCAGCACACGCTGATGGACACTGAGGATTTCAGGAAACACCACAGTCTGCTCAGGGAACCACACATCACTGTGCTGGAGGGAACACAATGCACTGGCTGTTCTCAGCAGACTCCCCTGGCCTTGTGCTCCCCTGCAAAAGCCAGTGTCTGATCCACAGACTCCCAGAATGGTTTGGGCTGGAAATGACCTTAAAGATCATCTCATTCCATACATGAGCAGGGACACTTTCCATCAGACTAGGCTGCTCCAAGCTCCATCCAACCTGGCTGTATTTTTATAGCCACACCTCACTCCATCAATCCTGCTGAAAACGTGTGACAAGTCTTATCCCAGGTGTGCAATCAAAAGGGATGAGCCCTGCTCAAGCACAGCAAAGAGCTCTGTATTGGGACCTGAACTGGGAGGGCACGTCTGGTTATCAGGATGCAAACAGCAGGTTCTCAAATAAGGACTTGCCCAGCAGCAGATGAAAAAAAAAAGAGAGAGCAAAGCAGGCAGATGCACTTTTTAGCTCAGCGCTCACCCAGATACTGCAGGGGTCAGGTGGGTTCAGGGCAGGATCACAGAACTGCCCAGTGAGAAGTGAGATAAGGAGAAGAGGTGACCAGAACAATAGATTAAATGCCCATAATTATGTAAGGAAAACTGCTTTCAGCTCTGCACAGATTAACAATCTCAGACTTGATCAAGTTAATAATCTCATGCATAATTAAATGCATTTGTTGCTGTGGCAGGCAAGAGACAATCAGGAGAACCAGAAACAACAAATCAGAGCCATGACCTTTGCAACTGAGGTAAGCTCCTTGCCTGTCCTCAGTTCTTAACACCCATCCATTTGGCAGCACTTGGCTGGCACAGGAGGGGATCACTGTTACCCTTCCACCAGGCACTGGCACAGGTTTGTTTCACTGGCAGGTGTTCAGCTGTGATCACCCCCATCTACAGGTGAAATCACACAAAAAGGGCTGTTCCAAAAGGGGAGGGTGTGCATTTGTGGATGTGTTTTCTTCCCCAGTTCACACAGAACAGGACGTTACATAAAGGCAAGGGCCCAAATTCAACCACAGTGCATTCAAAGCCCCAACAGCTTGTACTCCAAGGTATTTGAAAACCAGCCTTTCCAGCTCTGAGAAGCTTTTGAAACACAAGAACAAGTTGTGGTTTATTCTGTCCTTTTAAGATGATTAAAATAACTACACTCACATAGCTCTCCAATGAGTACACAAGAAAAAATTCCCATCTTTGTCCTTAGAGCCGCAGGGGACATTACAGGGTCGCACCCAGCAGAACACAACTCCTTTGGCTTGTAAACACAGTAAGTTATTGTTACCACAAAGACCAGAGAGGGAAGCCCATTGCAGGGCTTACACAGCTCACACTGTGTGCAGGTCATGGCCTTCCTCCAGTACACGCTGGCAGCTGCCATTCAGCAAACTCAGACTTGGAATCACGGAATGTTTTGGGATGGAAGGGACCTTAAAGCCCAACTCATTCCACCCCCTGCCATGGGCAGATACACCTTCCACTATACCAGGTTGCCCCAAGCCCCATCCAACCTGTCCTGGAACACTCCCAGGGATGGGGCAGCCACAGCTTCTCTGGGCAACCTGTGCCAGGGTCTCATCACCCTCATGGTAAAGGTAAATAAAGGAGGAAAAGACAAAGAAATCTAAAAATATATCCATACCAAATAATCATCTGGACGAATCCCAAAGAGCTCTCGGAAGTACCGGAAAGCCACTGGGGCATAGGTCTTGAACCTGAAGTCGGCGTAGTGGTGAGCCGGGGTGAGGTTACTGCCTTCGCTGCACAGAACACACACATGGGCAGGGCCTGTTACCATTCACCAGACATGGATAGTCACACCAAAGCTACTGTGTATTTCAGATGCACTGAGCCTTGCAAAAAGACATCTTTGTAACAACAACCACCACCTTTCCTCTGTGGTAGGAAAACAGGTTTCAAACTATCTGCGAAAATCTATTTCCAGAGATTAAAAGAACAACCACTTGCCACGCAGAATATATTTACACAGAGAACATAACTTCTATGAGCTTTGTTTATTCACAGTTAGAGAGCTCCCAGAAGGAGTTTCTTCCATCTAAAACATAGTATGATTTTGTGGCAGAAATTCTAGATGGACAGCTAGAAAGACAAGCACGTAGGAAGGGTAACAAACGGAAGCGCACAGTACTGCATCTTGTACTGTGCTTCCCTGCAGGCCAGTGCACTGCAGATTGCAACACTTCCCACTGTTCTGTTTGTGTATCACGGAGCAGATTTAAAACATTCAGAGCATGCAACTCTGATCTAAAGACAGATGGAAACTCTCTTGAAAAATCAGTGAGGGGAAAAGGAAAGAAATAATTCATGCATTCATTCTTTTCCCTTTCTTTACCTTGGGAAAAAAATGCTCTCCACCACATAGAAGTCCTGCATCAGGACATCTCTCTCTGGCTTGGAGCTCAGATTGCCCACAGTATATCCAATCCCCAGCTGGATGGCCCCCTTCAGAGTAGATGAGGTGGTCTGGCAAAAGGAAAAGAGCAGTCAGTGAGCACTTCACAGCAGATAATCACAGTAACATCCCCTGCATTACAACGCAGTCATGTCTGTGATTTGGTTAGCAGTGTCTGGGCACCACACACTGCTAACCAAATTTACCCAGCTGCTGAAGAGATGAATTAGGGGTTCAGATTTGCTATTTGCAGGATTGTGCTGTTCAAGAGTGCTGCATAAAAATCTCAACCAGATTAATAAGTATTGAGCCATAACTTCTCTCAGCTTGTGACCTACACTTGAGTGCCAACCCCCACTCGCCAAACCCAAACCTTTTTGTAGGTGGTTTCCCCAGAAGCATCCACGCTTCGATGGCCAATCTTCTTTCCTTGGCCTGGCTGTCCTGGCAGTGATGGGCCCTGCAAGGAGAGCATAAGTCAGGGCACAGGCTGAGCTGCCACCAAGCACATACAGAGCAGCACAGCCACATTCCCACACTGTACTGCACACAGGCATCATGATACTGCTGGAGAAAACCCTGCAGAGTGCCAACAGGTGAAACTGAAGCTCTTTCAATTATACTTCCACCCCTCAAGATGAGTTAGAATAGCAACACTCCACCTGACACCCCCACTGCTTGCTGGCAGAGCCCTCAGCAAAGATGCCGAGCTTGGGAAAGATCCAGCTGCCAAGATTCCCCTGGTGCTTGACTGTGATTTCCCATTGATTTAAAACAGTTATGTATTAAATCAAACAGCCACAGAGATTTATTCTTAAAATCCCACGCCCTCAGGTGTCACACTGACACCTCGGGTTTTGGTGGAGAGATCAGAACCAGCTGATAACCCAGCCCCACTCACACTGAGATAATCCATTTAAGCAAGATCTGTTTACAATTCCAAGGCTGAGCCCACACAGGGTGAGCCACAGGAATGTCTCTTCCACAAGTTCTGAAGTTTACAGAAATGCTACAGACTACCAGCACTTCAGGGTGACAACCAACCTGCTCCTGTCCCCTTCCCCTCTCCTACCTCTGAGTCTACCTAGGCCTTTCTTTGCCAGCCCAGGAGGCAGCAGGTTATGGCTGCTCATTTAACAGCCTGGTGTAACCAGGTGTTAAGAAGTTCCCTGCAGCTCTTTTTGCAGCCCTAGGGACTCTCTACTCCACCAGGAGTCAACACTACATCCACACCCAAGCTCTCTGCCAGCTGATGCCCACAGATCCTAGAGCCCACCAGACAGTTAGGAATGCTGGTGAGAGATCAGCATCATTTCAGGGTTTGCTACACTGCAGAACCGCTTTGGATGCTCCTTTGAGCAGTATGCAGAGAAATCCAAGGTCACTTCCCAAGTGACACTGTTCTATCACTGTCCCTCTTGAGTGCTGCAGAGACCCAGCTCTGAAACAATGGCTACAGCAGACAATGGGTAATTTTGCTCAGACTAAGGTTCTTTGTACTTTAGCTTTTGATCAAGAGCTCGCAGTTATTTCTGATCCATCTGCTCATACTTCTCATACTAAAGGTCAGTCTGAGTTCTCCTTCAAAAATCCCATTTCCTACCCTACTTTATTAGCAGGGCCAGCCTTGCTTCTGAGCACTCCTCCAGCACCTGTGAGCAGCAGCACAGCTCAGCCTCTCCTTCTACCAACCTGTCGGATCTTACTCCATGCAAGCCCAAGCTGTGCTGTCCTGCCCTGCCAGTGGCTCACGATGAGCAGACACAGGCAGGGGGAAGGGACTGCCATTATAGGAACTACAGTGACAAAAGTCTCTTCCAGTCTCCTGCTCTGCCTGTGGCTGTTTCCAGGGCAAGAAAAAGTGGACCTATTTGTGCACTGAACAATGCAATCAACTTCCACAGAAGCTGAGCTTCTCACTATGCATATTCCGGTTCAAAATAATCAAGTGTCACGTTCCAGGCAATTTTATGGAAATATTTTGTTGTTCATGTATACAAATGCTCATCATCCCAGGTGAAGAATGGAAAGGGGGATGTAAAAAATTGGATCAAACAAAAATCATTTGAACATGATGCCCTAAATCATGAGTGTGGGTTTCAGGGAACAGCTTTCAGGCACAGAACCTCCTGCTAGATTCCCTGCTGCCAACTGTGAAGAGTTTTGCTCCAGAAAGTAACAGTGACTCAGAACCTGCGACCTGGAATATCTACAAGAGAAGATGAGTCCCTGGAGATGTTCCCCTGTTTTAGGGCTTCACAAATCACAGCCTCCCTGACTCACTCCCACCAGTGGGTAAGTGCCCAATACATGCATTCTCCAGTTACCACCTCCAGGTGCTGGTGTGGAAGAGGTGCCCTCAGTCACCAATGTAGAGGCATCATGGATCACACAGCCAAAACTGGCCACATGATGGACACAGTCCCTCCACATCCCTGCTGTGGCTTTGGTGATGCCAGTGAAGGGACCTAGAGACCTGCCACTAATTTTATTTCTCCCAAATAACAGATATTGATTTTGTAGTAAACTTATAAGTATTCTGAAATGCAGTTTTACTCAGAAAAGGCAGGCAGAAGAGTTTCTTAGGTCTCTGTTCTCATTTCTCAACACAGGATTGTCAAACCAAGCTTTACACATCTCACCTCAGTGACAGCCGTCTTCTTTGGGCCCAGACCTGCAGAAAAAAAGGGAAGAGCATCAGGAAAAGTAGGGACATCAAATAAAAAACCCCCAACCCAACCACCAGAACTCCGAGAAAACAGCTCAGTGCTTTGTCTTTTAAAGCAGCCAGCCTTTAGACCAGCTGATTTTATTTGGTTTTCAGCTTCACTAGTGCAGGAATCTAATGGTACAGGAGTCACCTGAACAATTTCATATTTAGAAGCACAAAAATGCACATTTTTTCCCAGCAACAGTGTTTCCTAGAGGCTTCAGCAGAGAGGTCTTGCAAATCTCTGCTGCCTCTTTATGGCACAGATGGGTCCACACCATGCTAAAGAGCTGGCTCCACACAGAAGCCCAGAGAGACACTCCTGAAGCTGTTTTCCAGCCACTCAGAAGGCACTTGACAAACTATATCAATAATTGAATATATTTATAGAATCCTATGTCCAAATATATCACACAAATGAATGCATCATTTATCTTTATTGCTGCCTCAGGAGAAGCCACTGCTGCTCCATTACAGCCAACAGTGGAAATCAGGGTTTTGCCTCAAGCTTTTAGGGATATAATCAGAGCTGGAAAGACAGGCCCAAACCCTGTGACATGAGGCCACCTCCCACTTCCTACCCTGAGTTTGTTTTTCTGAGCCTAAGTTTGCAAGAAGCTCCTTAATTTCAGACAGCAGGGAGCACGGGCTCCTGTGTGGAACATGGGACCATGAAATGCAGCCCAGCTGGCTCCCAAGAGCTACCATGAAGGATCAAGAGCTGCTGAAGAGGAGCCCCCAGCACCACCCCAGCAGCCCCTCAGCACCTCTGTGCACAGGCCAGTTCTCATGGGGGAGTCTCCTGCACAGAACACAAACTCAAGGGACACGTTTCAGGCTTTACTTCCAGCTATGAGTCTGCCACTCCCTGCTCCTGTCCTACAGCATTCCTATGGGAACAGATCCTTATCAACCCATAATCCTTCAGAAAGGGCTCAATTTTGCAAGAGGCAATTGAGTGCAGTTTTGAGTTCACCTACACTCAAATTAGGGGGTGGTCTTCTCTGAGGGGGGCAGATGTCCTCTGTCCCTCCTGGCTGGAGAGCAGGAAAAGCCACAGAGCATGTAACCCAACTTCTGCTGCTTCAGCATCTCCCCCATTTGGCGAAGGATGAACTTGGATGGTTTACCCAGATGGTTTACCCATGGTACCCATTCACCCCCTCAAAGAGAAGCAGGGATACTGCTCCAGGGCTTGTTTCAGAAGGAGCCTGAGCAAGAACCTGGGCTTCAGTATCTGAAGGGGCTCCAAAAGAGCTGGAAAGGGACTTTGGACAAGGGCCTGGAGGGACAGAACAAGGGAGAATGGCTTTCTGCCAAAGGGCAGGGTTAGATGGGATATTGCAAAGAAATTTTCCCCTGTGAGGATGGTGAGGCCCTGGCACAGGTTTCCCAGAGCAGCTGTGGCTGCCCCTGGATCCCTGGATGTGTCCAAGGCCAGGCTGGACAGGGCTTGGAGCAACCTGGTGTGGTGGAAGGTGTCCCTGCCATGGCAGGGGGTGGAACAAGATGAACTTTAAGGTCCCTTCCAACCCAAAACATTCCAAGATTCCATGATAATGGGATGACAAAACCAGGGAAGCGTGTGACTCACATTTCAGAAAATATTTCAGACTCTGGAAAGCAAATAAACAACAAACCAAACAAAAAAACCCACAAAAAACCCCAAAAAAACCTTTGTTGATCACAAGGGAAATGAAGCTGCTCTGGCTTGGAAGTGCTGCAGGTGTCTCACCATCCTGATCTCCACAAAGTGGGCAGTCCCTTGTGTGAAACAGGTCTTGTCAGGTGGCATTTGGAGCTGTCTGCAGAGCACCCCATGGCCTACAGCCTGGCCTGCAGGGCAGAGCCAGGGCAGCACAGGAAGAGTCACTTCTTGTTATTCTCTTTTAAAAAGAGTGCCCAACTCCTGCCTCAGTAACAGTCACTGAAATGCCACTCCCTGTGTCACATCACCCCACTGCAAACAGGCAGAGGGACGTGAGCAGAGTGGGAAGCCAAGGGATGCAGAGCAGCTCCCCTCTGTCACACCCTCAGGCCAGGGCCCCTCAGGTGAGGGGGTGTCACTGACATGGGCAGGTGACACACACCATGAGTGGCATGAACCCTGTCACTCCTCCAGCTCTCAGACTGTAGCACATGGCTGAGGACCACTGTGAGCTCAAATTGTGCTGAAAAGTAAGTTTTTTGGCCTCAGCCAACAAAATTTTGTGATCATTGAACAAAAGACCCTGCAATGGGCCAGACAGCAGGAAATATGGCTCTGAGTGAGCATTTGGCTAATGAACTTCCAGGGCACGAGCTGAAGCAGCACTTTCAGACCACGGGAGAATCCAAAGGAGCTGATGCTGCTCCACACTGAGCACTTGAAACTGCTGGGAACACAGCGCAGCTGAGAGCCCTGGGCCAGGGGAATGTGCTTTCCCTGCATGCTTGCCACTGCTCTCCTGCTGCACTAATCTCGTTTCTGCACTTTGTCACAATTCCAGAGCAGGAGATTATCTTTAATTTTGTGATAATTACCACGAGCCACTTTCATTCCCAGCTTTTAAGTGTCTGCTGCTGTACACGTACCAAATGTGGAATCAACACCAACTGTCTGCAAAAAGGAAACGTATCTGAGGCAAGGAACCACACATCTCTGGGAGAAATGATGTATGATGTGGGCAAGAGCAACCGCAGCAAAACTTCCCTCTGCCCCTACCACTAATAAAAAGTAATCAGCTTTATAAAATCAACTTGTCTAGTCAGAAAACATAAAAATCTTCCACTGGTTCCTCTGTGCATGGCACACGGCTATGCTCGGCTTAAACAAGCTGACAGATGGTCTGGCAAAATCTGATTTAACTCCAGCTCCATGGGTTATTGAGCCACAAGGCACTGCTGGGGTTTGCGGGAGTGGGAGCACTGCTGCGGGAAGTTTTGACACTTAAAAAACAATTGAAATTACTCTTATCCTATTTGGTGTGGCTTATGTGCTCAGAAATGTGGTGAGTGGCTCTGGAGGGGAAACCCTGAGATGAAACCCCAAATTTCTGCCCTGCCTCCAGTCTGTGCCTGGGCTCTGCCAGGCACTTCATGCATGCTTGACCTGCTGCCTTCAGTTCTATTCTCATCTGTGCATGGCTTTGAGTGACCCTGTCCCAATGCTTACGCTTCTATGGAGCCTCTGAAATAAATTTCAGTTGTGTTTCATTCAGCAATTCTCATCTCAGACTTGTGTTTTTCCCATACTTACAGTCACATTGGCCATCACCACTAAGCTGATGCCCTGCAGGACAGGCAGGAATTTCCTCCTGGAAAACCTCTGCACAGGAAAGGGCTCAAGTTTCAGCTCTACCAGCCAGAGGAGCAAAACCCCCACAAGGTAAGGGTGGTGAGGCCCTGGCACAGGTTGCCCAGAGAAACTGTCCCATCCCTGGAAGTGTTCCAGGCCAGGCTGGATGAAGCTTGGAGCAACCTGGTCTAGTGGAAGGTGTCCCTTCCACTCCCTCCAAACCAGCTGAGGCAGGCTGACTTGCCAAAACCCTTCATCGTCAAAACAGGCATTAGAGGCTTCTGTCCACCAGAAAGGAATTTCTTAAAATGTTTACAAAAATCCAGCAGAAGCTTAATTTAAGATCACAGAATCTTAGAATATCCTGATTAGGAAGGCACCTACAAGGATCAGTGCAGCCCCCTGCCCTGCCCAGACCCCCCAACAAGCCCACCCTGAGCATCCCTGAGAGCGCTGTCCAAACGCTCCTGGAGCTCTGGCAGCCTTGGGGCCAGGCCCATTCCCTGGGGAGCCTGGGCAGTGCCCACATGATCTAATAATGAAGCTTTCTTTATAACACAGGTCTATACACTCAGACATATATTAATAAATTATAAGCATTTGATGCTTTATGATGCCCTAGAGAAGTCAAAACAAATCTGAATAATCAGTGGACTCCTTTCTCTGATCAGAACTGCTGCTGCTGCACCTTTATTAAAAGCTTCACTTTATTTAAGGGTTTATAAGGGTATACAATGTGACTAGAACTAAAAATACGTGAAAAATATAAATGCCATGTAAGCTCCTTGGCTGGAGGCTGCAGCAGCATGACTCCCCCAGAAATCCAGCACACCAGAGACCTGCAGTTTGCCACTCACACTCAGCCTGGTCTAGTGGAAGGTGTCCCTGCCCATGGCAGGGGGATGGAACTGGACAAGCTTTAAGGTCCCTTTCAACCCAAACCATTCCAGGATTCTATGAAATGCTGACAAGTAACACACACCCCAAAGGAGTGTGTCTATCTCATTTTTCACTCTCTTCACTGAGAACAAGGTACACCTGAGCAGCCCATTTGGACAATAAGGGGATGTGGAGACTATTACCAGGACACATCCACCAAAAGCTGTTACTGCCTGTAAGGGAATCCTGGTTAAAACAAATTAAAATTATGGGGGAGTGGAGGAATGCAATCCAGCAAATCTTGGAATGGTTGGGGTTGGAAGAGCCCTCATCTCATTCCACCCCCTGCCATGGAGGGTGGATACCTTCCACTAGACCAGGGTGCTCTGAGCCCCCTCCCTGGACACTTCCAGCTGCTCTGGGCACAGGGCCTCAGTACCCCCACAGGGAAGAACTTCTTTGCAATATGCCATCTAACCCTGCCCTCTGACAGGGCATTCCCCTTTTTCTGTCCCTCTAGGCCCTTGTCCGAAGTCCCTCTCCAGCTCTCTTGTAAGCCAGAAAACACTCCTGAGCTTGGAAGCAGCCCTTGAGCCAGCACGGCAGCCAGCTGAGCTTCCCAAGGAGCCAGCAAAAGCATCAGGCTGTGTCTCAAGGCACAGGCAAAAGGAATTTCTGAATTCCCTGAATTTCTTCTCACACTCCACACCTGTGGCTCCAGCTCCCAGCACATGGAGCAGCAGCACAGGGCAGTCCTGGGATGGGAGGTGACACTTCAGGGATTAGCCATCCCCCAGAGAAGGTAGCT